GTACAATTCAAAATAAATTATGTTTCTTCTAAGGCGTGCACACGTGAAGGAATTTAATGCACAAGAAATATCTGTATTTGGTATTGCTTGTTTTGTTATGTCTAAATAAATAATAGTTACAGGATTTATAGAGCAATAATGTTAAAAAGAATATTTGAAATCTGTACGTAATTTAGTAAAACTTGCTTTTGGATTTAGTATCTCTCTCTTTGGGATGAATAGTTCTTTTAATAGACTAAGAATATTTGTTTCTTAAACATTAACTGAATGCAATTATTGCACTCTTAATAAAAATGTGATTACGAAATCAACATCCCATAGATTCGAATGATTGATTTTACTTTCAACTACCAAGTTTCTACTTTCAACTGCTAAGTTCAATATCGCTTGAGCACTTCATTTTAATGGACAATTCTTCGGTTGATAAAGAAAATGGGAATTAATGTAGCTAAATTTGGTACTGTCAACTGATTTTTTTCAAAAGGTTATCATGGATGTTGGGTCGCCCCAGAGCAATTTGTACAATCCTTCCTTTTAGACCTCGTTACATTGCTCAAAATGCAGTCTGTGTAATTACCTTGCCCGCAACTTTGCGATGTCTGCTTTTGATAGCTTAAAACAGTTATGTAGAGATTCGAAAACACAGGAATTGGTTTTCATTTTATCTGACCGATCGTAAAGGAAACTACGAAAAATGCAGTACAAACACACTATTTCTAACAGAGTATACGAAACGAAACTAACCTTGAGTGAATCCGCACGAATCAATATTTTTCCCCATTGTAACGCACGGTCCCAGTTTAGCTATTCACGACGCTCAGCCAGTGGACTCCAAGGTTATTTTGTTTTTGGCAATACATTCACTCCCCACTGTCGGGAGTACGTTTTATGCCACTAGCCCCTAAGGGGAGCTCGTTTTGGGTGCCAGACAGTTCGCTTTAGTCTCAGCTTTCGCATTGCGGTTCACTACGAGCGAGCTAGAATTTGCATCAACGTCCCTCGCACTACGAAAGAATTAACGAAAAAGACAGGACGGAAATCTCCGTGCTACCTAGAGCGCTAGGGAAACACTTGCAGGGTTGAGGATGTTAGGGAGTTCCCATGGCAACAATTCAAATCAGACAATCGAGAGCACTCCGTTGTCATGGCAACGAAGGAACGTTTGCATCTCCTTTCGGCTCCGACTGTCGTTAACGTTTTTTTTAAGGTTGAATGGTGTCGACCGAGGTTCCGGGAGATGATACTGTCGTATGAAGTAGAACGTTGTAAGCCTTTGAAGATAAAAAATACATTCCTAAAAAATAAAAATAAAAGCACGAAAAAAGTAATTACTAAAAACGGTACCTACACTATGGCTAAAAATAATAAAGCACGCGTTTTTTAATTATGGACGACTATATCTTAATAGATTAACACACCCCTTACCAGCGGTGTGTTAGCGGTGCCTAGAAATTTATAACTGCAATCAAACTGTGACCACACGCCCCTCGGTGACGTCCAGACTGCTGCGCCCTGTTGTTACTCCAAGTCTCACCGAAATTGTCTTAGGCCCATTTTTGCTACAAGATTCCATTATGTTCATCCTAGCCCAATGGTTCGCTTCTGTGCTGGAACTTTTCTACCGGAAGAGGGGACAATTCCTGTTAGCAGCATTATCATAATCGGTAGTCTGGTGTCACATAGTGTCTTTTATCATTACCGAGTAAGGCTAAGGGATAAGAAGATGAGAGGATTGCGTGATCATACTTTGGACACTGCGCACGCGTTGACACAATCCCAACTTTGCCTTGTACGGGAATCGAACCCACATTTTCAGTTAATTTGTTCTTGGATGTCCCTGCTCCAAACCCTCTCCCACCAGACAGGCTATTGACAATAATAATATAGTTATAATAACCACCTACACATCCACATACTCACTTGTGATAAAGGCGGAAGGCTTTTGCAACATGTTTTCTAAAGAAATTAAACGAACTTCAACGACCAAAAAGCTTCTAAACTTGGGACAGAGACAGCTTGCAAAGTCCAGATGTAAAATGAACTTATTCTGTGACCGATGATACTGAAATTATTATTTTTGTTAATATTTTACTAGTATTACCATGACTACCTGAATCCATGCAAAATTGAAAGTCCCAAAAGGGTAAAGGGCCTCAGTGTAAATATATAGGCATGTGAAGTGTCTCATGTGTCATACTATTGCTGGATATTGCTGGACCATGATGCAACCTTCCTGATAGCCTGAAATGCCTATTAGAGTTGGGAAGACGTAGCATTGCGATCTAAACGTTAGCAGCTGTGCCTAGGACGCGGCCTGCAGACCTAGTCGTCACAGATTCCGATATCGGAAGCCTACGCTCTCATATAGGAGATATGTTGTAATACGAAGTTTGGGTTTCAACTGCCGCTATATTTGATTCTACTTCGGGGTCTGAGGAACGGTTTTGGTCGTAAAATGATGTAATGAATAAATGACAGGAAATATACATTCATTGTTTTAATTTTAAGATATGGTAAAAACTGTGTTTAAGACATAAAACCTGTTACTATGAGGAAGCGATAACACAGCTACGGCCCACTAACCTTGACGAAAAATGACGAAATTTGGTTGGGTAAAAATCGTAAAACTTCTTTCTAAATTAAAACTCTCGGTGTTTTAAATACGTAGATAATAATAACAATAATAACAATAATGACAATAATAATAACAAGATTAATAATACCCTCCATATCATTATCTTCTCGCACGCCTCCGCAAAGACCGGTCCGCTGCATCTGATGCTCCGCTGGTCCGTGGCGAGCGCGTCTCTCACACGCACCCTGGCGGCAGCGGCGGCGGCAGCGAGGGGCGGCGGGGGCACCAGTCATCGGGGGGTGGTATTTGCCTAATGGCACGAGCGGGCCCTCGCTCGCACCCTCTGGTGGCTGGCTGGCGTGCAGTCACTCGCGTGTTCCTCCCCCCTCCTCTCCCCCGGCTTGGTCTTCTCTCTTCCCGTTCTTCCGAGCCGAGGGAGCACGCGGCGGGTGAGCGTATTTCGTACAGGGATATCGAATCGGGAGGTATATCGATTGGGTGAATAAAATCCGCCGAGCTTCATGTGATTGGGAGGCGATCTCTTTTAGTTCTCTGCTCTTCTGATCCAAGAGAACGGGAATGGATGAGACTATTTCGTATCGGGTTATCGAACACGAATATATAGTGCGAGTGAATAAATTTGATTGCGTCTCAAATAAGTGCGCAGTGCTTTATGCGATCTTCTTTATGTTTGGTTTTAATCTAACAAGATTTTTTCTATCTCAGATAGCAGATGGAAGTGAATTTAAAATTTCCAAATTTCGATGTGACGTGGATCCTTGAGATATGGTTAAAGCGATAGGGCTAATGCTTGCGAATTCTCTTGATCAATTCCTGTTCTTTCGGCGTAATTGAGACAAGAGGTGTGAAACTATTTCACATGATGAACACACACTGAAGCATACAGTTACTGAGGCTTAAATTTGCTTACATGTTAACAGCGCCGCTAAGATCTTCTCCCCTGGATTTCCCGTTATAATCTGAGGGCTATGGGCAAGATAGAGAAAGAGGTGGGGAAACTATCTTGCATCACAACATCGAATCCTTATAAGATTACGATCGGCGGAAAAAATCTGTAGAAACTGAAGTAAATGATTCGCTATCTCTGCGATCTGCCTTGTCAGCTCCTCCCACTGTTTTGATCTGTGTGATAAAGAAGAATGGAATCTCGTTTATTTCTAGGGCATCGAACCCAGAACTATTGATTGAACATACAATTGTACGAGTATTGTAAGCGATTAAACCACCATCCCTCAAATATTTCTGATGGTCGCTTCCAGTTTTATTAATTTCAGGGGTTTGCTATCATGATGTTTTGAAATGAATAGTAAACTTCATCCGATGTTCACCATTCTCAGTCATTATCTGCATTTTCCCTGATGTTGTAATCTGAGCCAGATTCGACAATTTTTTGTAAGACTTGAATTATTAATAATTTATAAATTATTGATCTTTTAAAATTTACCTTTTTGTGAACTTTGTCGATGCATTTATTCCAGTTTCTAAGTTTGATCCATTTTCTGGTTTCCATGCGTTTTCTGTTCGTGAATTTCTAAAAAGAAATTGAACAAAAGTATTCCTGAAAACAAGCATATGGTAAGGTTGCTTTCCGGAACTAATAAATGCTGAAAACGTAGTGCAAACAAAAATAATAATCAAAGAATTGGGGCGAAACGATCCCTTCTCTAGATTATGAGAATGCGTCTTCTCCTCGATATATTGTTCGAATATCAATTTGAGCTCCAATGTCTTAAAATCATCTCAAAACAATAATTTAATTCCGTAATACTACTTACACCAGGCAGGTTCTTACTGTTCACGAACCTTATTAAACAAGTTTGCATAGCGTTTCATTTTGAAATCTATTTGCGAGCCACAATTTCTTCAAATTTTTAAAAACATACCACATTACATATGAAGTTTTGAGAATGGAAATCCGCCATTGTTTTTTGAAAAACTTCCATTTACTTAAATATTCAGTGATACTAACAGTATTTTGATCATAATATTTTAGAAGTGTGAAGCTTCGCATTTCTCACTCACAAGATACGGAGACACGTCTGTGTACAATTGGAAAATGCCAAGCTGTGTACAACGATTTCCAGTAGGCAGGTTTCTACACTGGTTCCAACTTCCTCATCTACAGATTCACCCTCTGGTCTGCTCTCCGCCGCTCGCTCGTACAGAATCGTTCTTCCCCTTCCCCCTCTCCTCTAGCACTCCCTCGCCAATCGTAACGTGCACACGCGCCGGAATTACGATCTCAAAATCCACCCCTCCTCTCTTTCCGCCCCCTTCCCCATCTTCCTGCTCCCCGCTACGCTGTACAAATGCCACACTCCCGCTACGAGCGGAATAAAAAAATGATTATGAAAATTAATGGCTTCAATCCCTCAAAGCCACAGTTTCCTTTCCGGCGTCCTCTGGCCTTTTAGTACAAACCGTGCCCCCTTCCCCTCAATTTTTTCTCTCACTCTCTCCCTTGGATCATCGAGGATTACGTGCGTGCTTCTATTAAACACTTATTACTTTCAAAGCGATGCTTTTGTTCGAGTCATGAAAAGGAAATGGACGTTCTTCTCAAGCAGGCACTTTGAATTCGAGCAATTTAGGTAGATGGCTCTTCAATTAACAAGGAAGGTCACCCGATGTGTCGACAGTCAACGGCGGGGTTGCTCCTCTGGTTGGCAAAGTGCCGCCTGTCTGCTGTTTGGCCCAAGACTGAAATAGTTTCAGAGGAGCACGATCCCAACGTGCCACGGCAAATTTGGAGATTCGCTGTGGACAATTCTGTGACTCCTGACGAACAAAACGAATCAACAAAAAAGGAATTAAAAGCACTGAATAATGTAAATACTTGAACGAGTCAGCAAAGAATAATAATGCCTACAAATCGCGATGTTGACAAATTGTAGTTTGTTTATTTATTGACGTTTCCATATAAACACGTATATCTGTCAGATTTATGAGAGCTAACAGCGTGAAGAACGTATCAATAAAAATGCTACGCTGTATGAAATACTTATTCCCAACACATTCGAAGTCCATCAAACATAAATAAAACACCAGGCCGGAGAAACCTCGAAAACATATAAAATGTGAGTTTATAGCCTGACCACTTCCGAGAAAAGCTCTATCCCCCAAACGGAGTAAAACAAACATATATCGATCTTACCAGCAACAGGCAACTCCGCTGCGACACACAGCTACGCAGACCAAACGGACGCACGTTGCACGGCTGAGCACATACAACGTCAAAACACTTCACTGTCAACGCATTCCATGTGACCACACAGTACTCCCTGCATGCACACACACACACACACTGTTTGGTTTCACCTAGCTGTACTTTTCCAACCTTCCTCCCTTCTCTATGCACTTCAGTATCACGTCATGCGTTTGACAAGCAGACAGACACAACAACAACAGCACAAAAATATCACAAATCACCACACGTCGTGACAGACGGTTCAGTTCCGCGTGAGCATGCCTCAGGTTCACTTCCCGCGTGTAGCTGCGATCACGCTGCTCTTGTCGTCATCGGCGCCGCAGCGCCGGTTGTCGTAGCCGGCCGGCCGACTCCCTCGCCGGTTCACGCGCACTGACAGCCGAGAGCGGCTGGTCGCCGGTGGCGCGTAGAGCGGAGAACGGGTGCTCCACTGCTCCGTACTCGATGTGCCCGCGCGAGCGGCCCGCCGTCGTCTGGAGCGGAGGCGCTCGCCGCGCGCGCTGTTCCTTCGCCCGCCGCTGGCGGCGCTGCTGTCCCGCGCTGCCTCTTGCGCGGGCGCGACGGGTGTAGAAGCACGCGAACGTAATTGAAGGGTTCATAACCACAATCATTCTCGAATTTCTTCAGGACTTGGGGAATGTTTTTGCGAAAGCTGCCCATCAATCGGCCACCTTCGATTTTTTTTTGTTTTTTGTATTGTATGCCAATCTGGGTTATAGCTCCCCTGATTGGCGTACACCCGCGTACTTGAAACAAAACCGTAAATCTTTCAGTGTGAATCAGATTAATTATTTCATATCAAAATAACAGCTGAGTCGTACATTGAATTAGGTTGTGTTATAACTATTACTCACAATGCTTCACAGAGCTTAAATCATTTAAGAAAGTTCTATTAGATTGAAAAACATCATTGAATTAATCAATGCTATTACAAACATATCTAATACTTATCAGTTGTAATGTTGAAAATATATTACAGTAATATCTGTCTGAGTCGTAATATTGAAATGCACACCGCAATAAGTAGTGCTGAAGGTAATCGAACCTATACCACCTTTATTCTTTTACTCCATTCTATTATTTTACTCTATTCTATTACTTTATTCTTACAAGAAATTTAAAGACAGAAATTGGAGCAGTTTTTGAGAATATTTTGAAAATGTCCGGGGGTCTTCATGTAAAGTGCCCCCAAATTTAGAAGGATTTTTTTCAAAATCTCGGCGCTGTGATTGAAGCCTGATCGACTGGGCAATATCCATTTTGTAAAAATTCGTACGTATGGTTTAGGCACTAGTGGTGTTCACAGGCTGACAAACCGACGGACGTTTTGCCGTCAATTGGTTTTTCGGTATCAAGAACCCACAAAATAGGGATTCTGGTGGCTACAACACGAGTTACAGGATTTCTTTCTGAATTTAGCAACTGTATTTATCCACGTTTTCGATATGAGGGCCAGCCAATGAATTTTTGCTGCCAAATCCGCCGTTTTTTCGTGCAGCATTACATAACTTTCCCTATACTACCTATATTACTCCGTATATACGTAAGTATACAGGGAATAGAAAATATGTAATAACATAAAGTCTGGAGTGTACTTGAAAGGGAAAGATGTCTGCCGAAATCCCCTTCAATTCGTTCCAGCGATAATTACCTGTGTTTCATTAGCAAAAGTTTATATCATCGTCTTTTACTGTAAATAAAACGTCAGGCTTCAAAATGTCGTCAAGTTGAACTACTTGAAAATTTCACGCAAAATAATTTTTTGTGAAAATGAAAATTGCACACTTTCAAAATAATGGCTTCGAAATATCCCAAATACTAGTGATTATTTATAAAAACCTCTTAGGAAAATATGTAAAATCTCTCCTGATAATAACCTACAAATTAAGATACACGAAACCCTTAATTCACAATCTGCAAATGAATGCAAACATGTAATTATATCGCCCACTGAAAACAACGCAAACAGGAAAATTATGCGACCGCCCGCGCAGAGTTCTCAGTGCACTTTAATATCAGTGGAGAATTTGGGGGATAAAATGAGAAAAGTTGAGAAGCTCCTGTTTCAAGTTGTCAGGCGCAATTAATGTCACGTATGCACATCAGTGCCTGCCTCCCCCCTTTGGCCCCCGGAAACTACCGTGGGTGTGTGACCCCTGAAGCACTTTGCTGAATCTCAGAGGAGACGTATTTATTCGCCAAAGTAATTAACAACGCATTTTCCTCGCTCCCATTAGTAAAACGTCACTCCTGTTCTCAGAGTTATTTAATTCAAACGAGATTGTCTCGGTAATTATTGTTCCGTGGGATGGGGACCTACTAGGAATTCAACCAAATTTGACACTCATTATCTTGTTGCATGTTAATGAAACGTGTTAGGTTCGCTAACATACGGGGTTACAGAGTTCATGGTTTTAAATCATTCATTTAAATAACCTGTCCCACCGTTTCCTGCAGGTTTTGTCGTTTTATTTGCATATTTTCTAAACGACGATCACGCGTTGCATGGCGTGAGATTCCGTCTCGCTTGTAATTACGAGCGGGCTTTTTCTTTAAGGGAGCGTCACATTTGGGATTGTGGTAAGAGTGAATGGCACTGTTGAACCCGAGGTGAAGTTGTCTCGATTTGAATGCAATGAGTGAGATGTCAATATGATGGACGCTTGTGGTGATAGCTAGCAATCAAGTGGTAGTGAAGCGATAAAATAAGACTTTGAAAAACATGTACTCTGGTAAAGGTGGTTCAGGGCTTTAGTTCTTGTCTCTGCAGTCCCTCTGATCCGGAGGTCCTAGGTTTCAATGCCGACGGTGGCAAAATTTTCGACACTAGTTTATAAGCTTGGTCGATTTCAGTCCCTATCTGGAGGAGAATTCTAGCGGCCAACTGCTGGAGCGGTGCACAGCTAGCGGGATATACCTGGTTGAGGAAAACCCCGCCAGCCGACGTTAGGTCCGCGCCGGATCTCGCAACACCGCGAGGGAAAGAGTCAACTACTGAGCAAAAACGTGCACTTCACTTACGTATCTAATGGCCCTGGTAGTTGACGTGCCCGGAATCCCTAAAATAATCAATCAATCAGGGATTAGCTGATGTCTCTGCAGTGCCTCTGGCCGGGAAGTCCTAGGGTACCAATGACAGGATTATGACACTAGCTAGTGAGCTACGTCGAATTGAGACGCTGCCTACAGGGACATTTAGCATTGGAGGAACAGCCGGTTGCTCTGATCGGTAGTTTTCTGTGATTTCTCCCCTATCAACACCCGGCGAATGTTGGAGCAGTGCCCTAAAAAATCGGTAACGACCTTTCCTTCCACTTCCTTGTCCTATCCTCACCCTTACCTACACACATATACACTTAGCTCACTGCACTACCACAATTGTCGGGAGAACAGTCGCTTGATTAGAGCTTGTCCCGGCTAGGACGGTGCCCAACTAGTGAGAGAAACCTGGTTGGGGAAAATCCTGCAAGCCGACGGAGAGGTCGTCGCTGGATGTCGCCATTCGGCTGAGGTAGATCACCAGCACCACCTCCATCACCATATCCCGCGATACTTACGGTACTTTAAAATAATTAGATTAGGTTAGATTAGATTAGACGTATTAATAATTCTGCAATTAAGTGTGATAACTTGGTGGCAGAATACACTAACTTGACATTACAGAACTTAACCAAATCTACAAACTTTACAAAATCACGTGAACATTTCACCGTGCAATCTTTTATAGAACTCCACTTCACCACACTTCACTTCACCGCACAGCGATACAGCGAGTTGTAATGTCTTTCGTACACACTCGTTTCTCTGAGTTTCACAACGTCACTGCACTTCACGCTACTGCACTGCACATAATAATAATAATAATAATAATAATAATAATAATAATAACATTAATAATAATAAAAATAATAATAATAAATAATAATACTTAATTGCATAGAAGACATAGTTAATTACACTGAATTTTATTAAATATATTTATAACACATATCTACATTCAAGAAACTAATTTATTTTTAAATTTGTTCAGGCTTTGAGGAAAGGGATCGAAGATTGTCACAGGTAAACCGTTCCAGTCCTTAATAGTGTGTTTCGCGAATGAATATTTCCCAACGTCCGCTTTCTGAATTCTTGTCTGAATTTTGTGCATGTGATCCCCTCTGCCGAAACGATCCGCTCTGCCGAAAATCAACAATCAATCAATAAAAGCAACATGTACACGGACGAAACATTAATTCCAGGAATGTGCTGCACCAAGATCGAGATATAGCGTCGTTTAAACAATCAGCGTTTTCGAAAATTCTTTAAATGTAGATTAATGATTAGCTTCATTTCCTTACCCTCGGATCCCTGCTATAAATATTCAAGTTTTTGTTGGTCAGAGAGAGCAAAATGACAAGCTTTAACACAGCGAAGAGAAATGTAAGAGTCTCACAAAGAAATGAGTTCTAGCTTGTTAACATACTAGTATTAGCCTTAGATTATTAGCCAAAATGTGTATTTTTATTGACATTTTTTTTGTACCTTTACATAACTCTCTCTATTTTATGCACATGAGAATGTTATATTGATAATTGAATTTGGGTACGACTTTTATTTAATTTCATTTCAGAAAAAAGCTACCGAAGTATCAGCATAACAAGAATCAATGCTATAAAAATGAAATGTGTACAAATAAATAAGGTTGCCTTACAAAAATACAAAATAGTCCAATCATTTAGCCAACCATCAATTAACAGAAACAGTCATAATATTTTATACGAGGTTTTCGTCATTTGACGCGACCGGACAACCCATGGCAGGGAGTGGGGTCCCTAGGGAGTGGGGGTGTTTTCTCCCAAAATGTGAGTTTAGCAAAATCTTATGTTATTTATATTTCATAAGGAACATTATTAATATATTTGAGAAATATTTCGAAATGACGAAAGGTCGGTCACATGAGTTTCATTTTTAAACAAGCGTAGCGATGCAGTACAAACTAATATATTCGGTAAATTCAGAGAAATTCTCTCTAATGGCACATTTCTAAAGAATTGATTGGGTATAAGAGATAAAAGTACTGTACAAGATGAAAATTTATAAGGTAATCATCAAACTATACATCTAGATTTAGATTTATTCAAAGAAACAGTAAAAACTGTATGTGACGTAGGTGGGAGAAGATTATCTGCGCATGTTTTCTTGACTTCAGAATCCCTTCCCGTCATTTTAACTATAAATAGATGAAATATGAGTAAAGGTTAATAATAAATATACAAATAAATATAATAATTTTATAATAATATATAATATTTTCAAAATATGTTAGATTAGCAACATTTGAAAAACTAGACATTTTTGTTCCCAAGTTACAGAAAACTTATTTGCAACGGTATACGAAGTGCAGATTTGATTTTCTTGCATCGCTAACAAAATAGTAACTCGCCTTTACCTCTAGGTTAACATTACAACCAAAAGGAGAGTTCAACAAAACGTGCGCATAGTGAAGCTTCATTTACATCCAGAGACATAACAAGGGGCCATCTCAGCATTTTCTCAATGGTTCAGGGAAACTGGACAAAAACCTGATCGAGATGGGGGTCATTAACCCGGAAGCTTAAGTACATTATTA